CTGCAGCCTCCGCGCGCGCGCGCCACTCCGCTCCGCATCGGGAAAGGGGGCCCGGGCGCTCAACGAAAAGCGGGAGCCCGCGGCGCCCCCTGCCGCGCGCGACCGGCGCCGGACTTTCACGGCCGGGGCGGCGCGGTCTGGGCGCGGCAGGCCGCCACGGCGCCGCGCGCAGTGCCGCGAGCGCTCGCGTGGGGCGTGTGGACCGCGCTCGCTGAGGAGGAGGAGGAGGAGGAGGGGGAGGAGGAGAAGGAGGAGAAGGAGGAGGAGGAGGAGGAGGAGGAGGGAGCGAGGGGAGGAGGGGGAGGAGGAGGCGGAGGAGGGGGAGGAGGAGGAGCAGGAGGCCCAGGAGGATGATGAGGATTAGTTCGGAGGGGGGAGGAGGAGGAGGAGGAGGAGGAGAAGGAGGAGGAGGAGGAGGAAGATGGGGAGGAATATGGGGAGGAGGAGGAGGAGGAGGAGGAGGAGGAGGAGGAGGAGGAGGAGGAGGAGGAACCGCGGTGCGGGACACGTCCCAGGGCAGGTTGGTCCCACCAGAGGAAGAAGCTGAACGGTGATATCGGGATGGAAGCGGGCGGCCTTACAGTGGAGGTCAGTCCACAAGAAACCTTCCACAAGAACGCAAGAAACCCAACCCTGAGACCCCAGGACGTTCATTGATTTTTGGTGTGGGGGCGTCACGCCTTCCACAGCAAAAACCATCGAAACCCAAGAAACCCAGGCCACCCTGGAGGCAAGCAGGGTGTTTCTTGGCAGGGGGCCCCACTGTACCAGACTGTACAGCCGCGCCTGGTGTGAGGTCTTGGCGGCGGCCGAGACGGAGGCCATCAGCATGGTGGTGGAGGCAGCCGCGGTGCGCTGGCACCTGCGGACGGCATCCCAGGCGGCCTCTGGAGAGACACGGCGACGCTGGGCGGCGGCTGGGCGGTGAAGCCCCGCCTGGTCTTGGTGGTCCAGGGCAGCCGAACGCGTATGCTGGGGCGGCGCACGGCTCTGGGCAGGTGCGGCGGCAGCGCCGAGCTGCCTGGCAAGGGCACTCCGCCAGCCTCCTGGGGCCGCGGGGGTCCCCGGGGTGGTCCGCAGGGGGACGTAGGCCTCGCCGCCGCAGCGGGGCCAGCCTCGCGGGTAGGTCGGCCAGGCGCAGTGCTGACGCCGTGGGTGGCAGCTGCTCCGCGGTTGGGGTGGCGAGGGGAGGCGGGTCAGTGGTACTGGGCGCTGACGCTGCATTGGCGCGGCAGCGCCGACCCCGTCGGGGGGTCGGCATCGCTGTCCATGTTTCCGCCCAGCTCGGGGGCAGTCGTCCTCAGTGTCGTAAACCGAGAAGTCGCCGCCCCAGGCGGCGACGAGGGCGCCGGCGGGGCTGTCCAGGGCTAACGCGGGAATAGGTTCCCGAGCGGCAGGCCTGTGCGCGGGGGGTCGCGGCACCAGTGTCGGCGCCGTCGTCGTCGTCGTCGTCGTCGTCGTCGTCGCCGCCGTCGTCGTCGTCGTCGTCGTCGTCGTCGTCGTCGTCGTCGTCGTGGTCGTCGTCGTCGTCGTCGTCGTTGTCGTTTTGGTCAAGGTGGCCTCCGAGATTGAATAGATCTTCTTCGTCCATGTCCGGCCACTGGTCAACCAAGTGGTCGTCGGGGTCGTCGGGTGGCTGTGGTGGTGGCGCACCAGCCGTGGGCGGGGCACCTCTGGGGTCGTGGTGCGGGCCTTTGCATTTGAGCTCGTGTTCGGTGAAGCTCGCCCTTCGGTGGTGGAAGGGTAAGGCGTTGTGCCGCTGGTCGCAGATGGCCGCAATACCGCTGTGCAGGGTGACGGCAAATTTGTGCCGAGCGTTTGCCGCGTTCACGACTTCGAGGAGCATGTCATGGGGATCAACCGCGAACGCGGCGAGTGCGTCAGCGTGCTGGTTGGAGTACTCTGCGGCGGCAGTCATGTGGTCAGCAGCTAGTCCTCCTCCCCGAAGTGGCTGGTAACCTTTTCCACGCGGAACATGTCAAATCTGGCTTGGAGGACCTGGTGGACACGAGCCTCCCAGGTCGGCATGGTTCCCCTGGCACGGCGGTGTTGTTCCTGCGAGAAGGACTCAAATCCGTCCACGCCGGCCTGGTTGTCGACGAAGACGTGCCTGGGTCTTTGGGAAGTGGCCACTGAGTGGAATAGCGCCAGCGTTTCAGCCCGCTGAGCCGCCTGGGAAAGGCTGTGGGCACGGGCGCAACAGTTGGGCCTACGCGTGGGGCCCTAGAAGGTCCCGCAAGCTGCTCGGGCTAGGAGGTGGTGAGCCTAGTGGGAACACGCGTTGCCCCATCGATGGCAGCGTAGAACCACCTCGCGCTGCTGACCCGGTCGCTGTACTCGTGGTGCGCGCGACGAGAGGTCTTCTTCTGTTTTCGACGCCTATGGGGCCCGCCCTCCACCGGGCTCGGCCATATGCAAGAGGGACCCTAGGCAGGAGTGCCCTTTGGTGCGCGGCTTTACGGGGGCGCGAAGGTGCCAAACCAGAACGCGCACGCCACTGCTATCGCATCGCTTTCAGCGATCCAGGGGGCCCCGGTTGGGCCCGCGCAAGCGATCACTCCGCCGACGGGGGTCACCCGTACGCGCCGTCGACAAGCCCCAGGTCCTCTTCCCCGGAACTGGTTTTCCAGACCGGGTTTAACTCGGGATGGAAAACCAGTTCAGGGGAGAAGGTCAAGACCTCTGGGGGTCATGCTTTCCCAGATCTCCACCGCGCTCCACAGGGAGTGCGGCGCGCCTCTGCGCGCTAGCTCCGCAGCAGTCTCCCATCCGCACTGCCCCGCGGCGCGCCATATATAGTCAGGTCGGGTCGCGCCGTTAACTACACGCAGCTGCATAGCATTGGGACTTTCGCTAGGCTACTTGTTTCCACTCATTTTACATACATACATACATTACATTACAACACATTACATTCCATTCCATTCCATTCCATTACATTACGTCACAGTACAGTACAGTACAGTACATTACTTTACATTACATTACATTCCATTCCATTGCAATACATTACATTACATTACATTACATTACATTACATTACATACATACACAAATCCATGCATACAACTAGACACATCCACAACAACCATTCGTGCATGCACACATCCACACTTATGTACAAGCATGCGCACACGCGTCGATCGGTACATACACACGACATGCAGGGAACACGTTCAAACCATGCGTACGCATGCGTACACACATGCACACATCTACGCACACACACATATAATCATATACAAGCACGGCCTCTGCCTGGGTCGTGAGTCGGGTGCGTCTTGCATGCTTGCGGAGTGAGTCTCAGGGGCCTCTTGAAGCCTCTGCAGGGCCTCTGGGGGCCCCTCGGCGCCTCTTGGGGGCCTATGGGGAGCTGCTGGGGGCCTCTGGGAAGCGTCCTTAGGGGGCCTCCTGGGGGGTCTCAGGGGCACGTTGGGAGCCCCCTCCCCGCAAGATGGTGCCCCACAACTCCTCGTGGCACCCTCTTGGGGTCAATCTGGCAGCTCCCGTGGGGCCCTGTTTGGGCTCTCTTGGGCCGTCTTGGGCGCTCCTTGGACCGTCTAGGGGCCCTCTTGGCCCGTCTTGGGGCCTGGCTGAGCCGTCTTGAAGCCTCCTTGGGCCTTGCTAAACATGCACATTTCCCCCTTAGGTATCGGACGGTTGTGGCCTCCTGGGGTCCTCTTGGGGAGTCTCTCGGCGCGCTCTTGGGGCGTCTACGGGGCCTCTCGGCCCCTGCTGAGGGGCGTCTCGCGACGCTCTCGGGGCGTCCTGGGAACCACCTTTGGGCCGCCAGGCGGCCCTCCTGGGCGCTCCTGGAGCGTTCTCGGGCGGTCTCGTACCCCGGACGGCCTCGGGGGAAGCCGCCCGGGAGAGGCGGGCCCCCTGCGTACAAGGGAGGCCCCCGCCCAGGGCCCAAAGCCCGATACAGTAGGGACTCGGCCACAAGAAACCTTTAACAATAAACCCAACCTTGAGACCCCAGGACGTCCATTGATTTTTGGTGGGAACGTCACGCGTCCCATAGGAAGCCATCGAAACCCAAGGCACCCTGGGCACCCTGGAGGCACGCAGGGTGTTTCTTGGCATGGGTCTCCACTGACTCCACTGTAACGGTTGTTAATGAAAAAGCTGTGGCGAACTCGGCGGGGACCCTGGTCGTAAGCTCCTCATGTGCACGCGCGGCGTTGTCAGCGCCACCTGCGCGGAGGGCAGCAATGCACGCGTCTTTGCGCATCAACGCGAGTGTGTGTGTGTGTGTGTATGTGTGTGTGTGTTCAGCGACGCGTGCGCCTGTGGTCGGAGAAGCCGTAGTCACCGCGCGGCGGCCCTTGCCATGACTGCCGCAGCGAGTGAGAGGATGGGGAAAAATGTATCGCTCAATTCCTCTCCTGGGGACTTTGAGAGGGCCCAGAAGGGATACCTTCGCGGCTGCTCGCGCACCACGGGTTGGGGGGGAAGGGGGTGCTCGAGCCAAGGCTCTATATATAATAGAAGGGAGAAGAGGGAGAGAGAGAGAGAGAGATGGGAATAGAAAGAGAAACAGAGAGAGAGAGAGAAAGAACAACGGGGCGTGGGGTGGAAGAAGAGGAGCAGGTGCATCATACGGAAAAGTGGAGGGGAAGCTTGAGCAGCACGAGGAGCTGTGCGGAAGAAGTGGGCGAGGACGATGCTGTAGGGCAGAAGAGGGGGGTGGGGAGGGGGGAGAAGGAAGATGAGGAGGAGGGAGGAGGAGAAGGAGGAGGACAAGGAGGAGGAGGAGGAGGACGAGGAGGTAGAAGAGGAGGAGGAAGAGGAGGAGGAGGAGGAGGAGGAGGAGGAGGAGGAGGAGGGAGGAGCAGGAGGAGCAGGAGGAGGAAGAGGAAGAGGAGGAGCAGGAGCAGGAGCAGGAGGAGGAGGAGGGAGGAGCAGGAGGAGCAGGATGAGCAGGAGGAGGAGGAAGAAGAGGAGGAGGAGGAGGAGGAGCAGGAGGCGGGAGGGCTCGCGACTCTGCTGGGGCGCTCCTGCTGCTCCAGCTTTACCTGCAGCTCGTGCGCCCGCCCGCGCACCAGGCTGGCCTCCTCCAGCATGGCCTTGGCCTCCTGCCGGGCGGAGGGGCGGGTGGGCGGAGGGGGGGAGAAGGACAAGCTAGGTGCGCTCGCGCCGCACCTGACGTCACATCCCTCCCTCCCATCCCTTCCCGTGGCGCTGATATCTCTGTATCTGCGGACGCGCGCAATCACCGACCTGCGACTCGCACAGAAGGACCACTTCGTGTCATGCGCAATCGTAGAAAAAAAGCTGTGTGTGCACAGGAGGGGCATGTGGCGGGTGAGCAGGAAAGTGAGCGGGAGGAAAAGGATAAGGACGAACAGCAGCAGCAGGAACTAAAGCGGAAGGAGAGGGAGGGAACGGATGACCAGGGGAAGGCGTAGGAGGGGAATGAGGGGGCTACAACGATAAAGACTCGGACTCGGAAAAGTGGCCTGCGCTGGGGCGAGACGAACAGCAGCAGCAGGAACTGGAACGGAAGGAGCGGGAAGAACAGGAGGACAAGGGGAAGGCGGAGGAGGGACGATGATAGGGGGGTCGAAGCGACGCAAGACTCGGATCAAGACAAGTGGCCCGCGTTGGGGCGAGAGCGCCGTTCTGAATGACGGGGGCAGCGCACCGATCTGGAAATGATGCCCACGCTGCAGCGGGAACACCATGCGGAAGCACCACACATATCTGGGTTGCCAGCATCTGAAATCCTGCATGCAGGAGCCAACACGAGGAGGGGGCGGGGGATCTTCCGGACAACTTCAGGGGAGGAGGGCGAATCGTACTCATAATGCCTGGCCGGGCTGGGCCCGGAGGGCGGCCTGGCCGCGCCCCATCCACAAGAGGAGGAGGAGGAGGAGGAGGAGGAGGAGGAGGAGGAGGAGGAGGAGGAGGAGGAGGAGGAGGAGGAGGAGGAGGGGAGGGCGCTCGACGGGGGGGCACGCCTCACACGCTCTGTGACACCAGAAGGAGCTCCAGCGAAGGCCCCAGAGGTACTGTCGACGCGCGGCCGCCCCCATCATGTCGGCACACACACCTCACACGCTTCGTGGCCCCACAGGGAACTCCAGCGAAGAGGAGGAGGAGGAGGAGGAGGAGGAGGAGGAGGAGGAGGAGGAAGAGGAGGGGGAGGAGGAGGAGGAGGAGGAGGAGGAGGAGGAGGAGGAGGAGGAGGAGGAGGAGGAGGAGGAGGAAGGATGAGAAAGGGAAGAAGGTAGAGGGGGAAACGGAGGGGGAGAGGGAGAAGGAGGAGGGGGGAGAAGGAGGAGGTGGTTGAGCAGGTGAGAGGGGAGAGGGAGTGGGAGAAGGAGGAGGGGGGGGGAGGAAAGGACGGAGAGATGGAGGGGAGGTACGCGGCACCTGTGGCGACGCCTGTAATGTAGGCGTGGCTGACCGGAAACGTAAACACAAGAAAGGAGTGCGAAGGACCGCACCTCGGGCAAACAGAACATCTCATCCCTGGGCAGCAGCCTTGGTGTCTGACGGCAGGCTGAGGGACCACCGGTTTCCCCAGATCAGGGGGACCACTGCGACCTCTTAGGTCTTCAGGATGTCACAGGTGGGGGAACAGCTAAATAAGCGCGATGATCCAAATCAAGCGTGGCAAGCCCAGTGCAAAACATCATAACCCGGTGACATGCCTCCGTCACTGAAAACTGCTCGGGGGCGCGGGCATGCGACCGCTGCTCCGAGATGGGTCGTGGGGCTCCCTTGCCGAGGGGGGCCCTGGGGCTTGCCCGCACACTCTCTTTCGATGTTGCGCAAAGGATCTGCGAGAGCTTTCGGAACGAGGGCCTTCCCAGGACACTGCCGCTGGAGGAGATGAATGCGACCCCCAACATGTAGGCGCCGCGGCGTGCAAAGCATATGGCCCTGCCGTTCTGAATAGAGAAAAAGTTGGCGCTCCACTCGAATTTCGGGGATCTGCGCTGGCAAGAGGAAGCGGGAGGTGATGAAGAGGGGGGCAGGAGGGCTGGATCAAGGAGTGGCGGCGGGCAGATGCCATGCCCGCGCATGCTGGGGCGGGTATGCAGTGAGACAGTAGAGCGGAGTGTGATGGGATGCACCTGGACGCGCGGGGAGGAGGAGGAGGAGGAGGAGGAGGAGGAGGAGGAGGAGGAGAAGGAGAAGGAGAAGGAGGAGGAGGAGGAGGAGGAGGAGGAAGAGGAGGAGGAGGAGGAGGAGGAGGAGGAGGAGGAGGAGGAGGAGGAGGAGGCCCTGGCCTCTCCCCGCTGGCCGCCCGCCGCCCCTCCCAGCTCGGCCTCCCTCGAGGCCAGAAGGGGCGGGGGCCGCGGAGAGCAGCCGGGGCCAGAGGATCGCGGTCGCACCGCCGCTGCACCGGCGCTGCGTCGGCGCGGCGGCTCGGTGCGGAGCCTGACTCTTTATTTTTTGTTCTCCGCGCCCACGTCGCGGCTGCATCGCCGACGTCGCCAGTGCCTCGCCGATGCACCGGCAGTGCCTCGGCGACGCGGCGCGATGCTTCGACGCCACCTGCCCAGACGCCCCCCTGGGAGGCCTCGAGTCTCGCGTCCTCCCTGCCGCCGCCTCCCCGATTCCCGGAGTCCCGCGGGACTCTTGCTGCGCCGCTGCTTCCCCCTGCCTCTTGTCGCCCCCCACCCCAGACGCCCGACGTCATGATATTCTTTCATGACGCCGACCCCCAGAGGTCTCGACCCCTTCCCCAGGATTAGGTTGGACACGTTCTCCTACAAGCGGATTTTGGAAGAACCTTTAAACTAGTTAAACCGTGAGCGGAACATAATCAAAAGATCGTTCCCAGATTTGTTTTGACTATTTTTGAATATTCCGCCAGTAGAGGGACATGCCCGACTTAAACCCAGGACCAATTTTGCATCCCGAGGCGTTTTGGGACGGTCTCGAGGCCGGGTAAGGGCCCCCAGAGGCCGAAAACAGGGAAGCGCCTCCCGTCGCGACTTGTTCATGGCCCGAGGGGCTCTGAGTCCTCCTCCCCGCCTCGCTCCCGCTGTGCCAGGCCTTGCCCCTGCGCTGCCCCTCCCTCCTCCCCGGCCGCCCGCGCTCCTGCGTGGCCGCCTGCCTCTCCAGCTCCACCTCGGGGAGTGCGTGAACGGGGATCTGGGGCCGTGCTTGGAGGCCTCTTGGGCCGTCCCGGGGCGGTGTTGTGGCTCTCTCCGGCCGTCGTGGAGCGTCGGCTAGCCGAGGAGGGGAAATTCGTGCCAACGCCATTGAGGAATGAAGGATTTTGGCCTCTGGGGGCGTGCGTCGGGGTACTGTTGGAGGCGCGCGGGGGCACGCGGGCCGGCTCGAGGGGGACCAGGGGGCACGAGGAGCCGCGGCAGGAGCGGCGGGGCGCGAGCGGCAGCAGCTGCTGGGGGAGGCGGGGGGGGGGGGGAGGCGCTGCAGCGCCTGCTGCTGCCCTGCCGGGCGCCCGTCGGCCTCTCGCGGGCGATCGGAGCCCGCGCGGGGGACTCCCTGGGCGGCAGCGCGCGGGGGCCGCCGGGCTGTGCCAAAAAGTCCGCCGCCCGCGCCCCCCGGCCGAGCGAGGCCCTGCAGCGAGAGCCGGTGCGTCGACGGAGCGAGGAGCACCGTGCAGAGCATCGCCGTTCCAGCCCCGCGGGAGGCCAACGGCAGCGCTCGGGGCGCACGAATGGCACCGTGAGGTCGGGCATGTCCCCCTCTGCAGGGAGATGTCGGACGACAGATGAAGACTACCCCCAAAATCGTGTGCGAACAGTGCTAAAGGCATGGTCCACTATTCTTGGAGGAGGAGGGGGAGGAGGAGGAGGAGGAGGAGGAGGCTTGTGGTTCGGTTGCGTGCGTCTTGCCCCCCCCCCCCCCCGAGGGGAGCCGAGCTGCCCCTCGACGGTCCAGGCCCTCTGGCGCCGGCCTCGCCGGAGCGAGCCTACACGCGTCCGGTCGGTGCCGAGGTCGGGGAGGCGCAGGACGCGGGCTCGGGGGACCAGGGTTGGCCCGACGTGCAGTCGGGCTTGACTGGAGAGGGCACGCGGAACAAGGGCTCCCAACTTCGCGCTCTCGCGCTCCGCGAAGCGCGAACAACTCCGCGCTCTCGCGCCGCCCCCCAAAGGGAGAAGAGGAGGACGAGGCGGACGAGGAGGGGGAGGAGGAATGATGTCCGCGAAGCGCGACTAACTTCGCGCCCTCGTGGGAGCCCTTGCAGCTGGGCTTGACTGGAGAGGACACGCGAAGGGACACAAGACCATGCCGAGGGCCACGTTGCCACAGAAACGCAGGAGACATGGGTCGCGAGACACAGGACGCGGGGGCACCCTTGATCTGGCAGGGTCAACCTACTGATCCGGGCCGGCTGTAGCCATCGTGAAAACGACGAGACCCAGTCTGTAACCTGACGCGAACTCCCGCTGCAGGCGTCCCACGAGAACCAGACCGTCAAAATCCACGACGCTCTCGTCAAAAGGCGTCGGCAAACCCGAGTTCCGGCCTACTCGAGTCTCACGTTTCCCCGACACGGGTCTAGTACGCGAGGTGGCACGGCGACCTTGCGCCGCGGCTTGCGCGGGCCGCCAGCACGGCACGCTGCATGGGAAACGAGGGCGCTTACGCGCGACCTCACGCGGGCAGCTTGCGCGACAGTGTCCGCGTAATGGACCCCGTATTTCAACGTCGCTCACGTGGGGAGCGGCTGAGGGAGGGGAACCATCGACCCTGAAAATCTGCGATGCATCGCCTAGATGCTTCCGAGCCCCGATTGCGAATCCGCATGCTCCTGGGCGGGGGGGGCCTGCCAGGTTCCTGTCGACGGCGAATGGGCGATTGGAGGTCGATGCTTTCCCTTCCGAGCCCATCTCCCCCTGACGTTCCCCCCTTATCACGGGTCACAGGATCGATTCCTAGAGCTCTCCTGGGGAGCGTTCTGATCGGAATTTCGATGCGGATCCAGCCGTGGCCACGATGGCGCCCCAGGACGATCAAATACCTACAGGAAAGCGAACCTCGATCCGACAACCTCCGCCCGACAACCTATCCCCCCCCTTTACGTTGCCCCCGACCAACAGCATCCGCCCGAAGGCCGACTACCGCGGTGCGGGTCACAGACCCAACAACCCTTGGCGGGAGCCCAGTGCTTCCGCGACGTCTAGAAATTACACCAGCGAAGCACCCCGGTAGCAGCAAAAGTGAAGAGGCGGGTCGAGGAGTAGGAGACCGGGGACAGGGCACCCCAGTGCATATTCTACACGGGATCGCTAAGGATTCCTGGGAAAATCGCAGGCAACCAAGACAAAGAGGTATTTTTTGCGAGAGATCGTGGCCGTCCGGACCAAACATGTAGTTGTCATTGAGGCAAGAACACGAACCCTGAATACTTTGTGCCGTCTACACGCAAGAGTGACCCTGGGTAAGAGTGATATTTGGTGCGTGGTTTTTGGGGGGCCGCGGGGGGACCAAACACAAGAGGGCAAGATGCTACTATCGCATCGCGTTCGGCGATCGGGGGGCCCCAGTGGGCCCGCACCAAGGGTCACTCTGGCGAAGGGGCACTCTTACGTGTAGTCGATTGTGAGGAAGTCTCAGGCGCAACGGTTGCGGGCATAGGCATTCTCGGGCTCCCCGCCACTCCTGTGAGACACTTCTGTGGTTCTTTAAGTATGCCACCATTCGACGTCAGGACGCTTCAACGAAACTCTACTAGGACCAGAAACGGCACGGAACCATCGATGCCAACCCTGCGCACCGTCTTGCTGCTGGCCAGGCGTCGGCTGTCCGATGCCTAGGCACCACGAGATCGGTGCCCAGGCATCACCAGATCAATGTATAGGCATATTATACGCCCAATTACGTCCAGCTACGTCCATGAACGCATCCCAATATGTATGCGTAGGCATACCAGTGCGGGCGGGTGCCTAAGAATCAGCAATGGCATGCCCAGGCATCCGCGGGGCCATGCCTAGGCATGCTACGACGCTGCGTAGGCACCTGGGTTGGGGGAGTCGGCTACACGCAAGAGTGACCCAGGGTAAGAGTGACCTTTGGTGCGCGGCCCTTTGTCAGACGCCACTGCCGCCTCGCCTTCGGCGATCGGGGGACTCCACTGCACCAAAGGCCACTCTGGCGAAAGGTTACTCTTATAAGGGAACCAAAAGGTACCGATACCGCTACTCCCCAGACCTCTCCTGAGGTGGGTTATGACCAGGATTTCAGGGCGAATCCAGCGCTGGCGCCGAGGGCCTCCCAGGAGGTCCCCAAAAAGGCGAAAACGAGGGAGGGGGTAGCGGTATGGGCGCCGCCTCTCCCTCCTCCGATCGTGCGCCTGGTCGAGGGCAAGGGGGGGGGGGTCAGGGTGAGATGGCTGGGACCAGAGCGCGCGGGCAGACGACCCCGAAATACACATCGATACGTGGAGGTCTGTCGCCGCTTCCGGCCCCTGGGGGCCCCTCGCCAGACCGCGCGGCGGCGCGCGCGCGCGGGCAGGATGGGGGGGGGGGGACAGGCCGTTGCCCCCCCTGCCCGCCCCCCCCGCCCCCCCTCCTCGCCCCCCCTCCTCCCCCACCCCTCCTGTCAGTTTTTGCCGTTGCACGGGCCTGGATGCGATTCGGGCGGGGCGAAAGGGGGGGACAGCAAAGAGGGGGTTTGAGAAGCAGCTCACGTAGCTGATTTTCCGGCGCCTCCCGGCGCCGGAGGCGGCCATGCATCGAGGAATGGACCCCTCGGTGGGGCCGAAACTAGCTGCACGCAGCAGATTTCGTAGCCCCCCCTTTCCCACCCCCCCCGTTTCGTCCGGCCCGAGCGATGATCGTGGCGTTCTGTGGCTAGGGAAACAAAGAAGAGGCCGACTTGGGCCAAGGGTCAAACAACTCCGCCTGGCGGGCGCAGCGGGCGAGGAGAGACGGCAAGTACCGAATCGAAGGGAATATTAGAGCATTTGCGCCCGCCCTCAGGAACGTGGGCTTCTGATGTTGGGGCCCTGCCGCCGATCTGTCGGCGATGCATTGCCACGTCCAGCTCGATGCTTCCCCCCCTGAGCCAGCCCCCCCTGCACCACCCAGGTGGAGATCCCGCAGCGGATGAACGGCGGGCGGACGATGCCCTGGGCGGACCTCGAGGCCCTGAGCCCGGTTAACCTTGGTACCCCTCCCCCTCCCGTCAGCCTCTTGCTCCCCCCCGCGCCGCCCCCCGCCGCCCTGCCCAGACACCCCTCGAGTCCGGAAGGCATCGGGGCGGGGGTCGACGCCATGAACAAATCATGACGTCGGGGGTCTGGGTCCCCAGGAGGGGCCGTCCACAAGAAGGATTCCAGGATGGAGGGCGTTTTCCTTCAGATTCCGGCAGGCTTACTCGCATGGATGGTGGGGCGGGGGTCGTGGCGAGGCCCGAACCGAAATCTGGACTTCACGCGAGTCGGGACTTCCTTTTTTTTGTACGGTGCAGCGCAAATCGAGCTTGGTCACAGACGAATGGTCCCCACCGCCGAGCGACAGGAAACCCCGATTAGCCCAAATATTTGATCTTGGGGACACGGGCAACTCCAACCTGCCGTCCTGAATGCACATCCTGAGGCCGTCATTCTGGCCGCGTCGCCGTTTTCGACAACGCGCCAAGCGGCCGACGTTCGGAGTGCTGCAAGCAGGGGCGGACGGTCAGAGGAGAGAGTGTTTCGGTCAAATTCGGACTGCTTCAAGATCGGCCCTCGCCAGACAGAACCACCCCCACAACTCCCTCGAGCGGCGGTGGGCGGGTGGAAGCGAGAGAATCTTCACGGGAGTGCGATCCTGAATATGTTCTGGGCCGCTGCAGCGGCTCAGAAGGGGGGAGCATTGGGCTGCAACGCTACTCCACCACCTCCACCACCACGCTCCTTCACCACCTCCTCCATTGGGCTGCCAACGTCGAGCTCGAATCCGCAGCCTGAGCTTTCCTGAAGTAAGATGTACTCAAGATTATGGTGACACCAGGCTTCATTTAAGCCAGGAGAGGGGAAAGGGAAGGAGGAGGAACGCGAAGAGAGGGACGGGGAGATGGGAGAAGGGAACAACTAGATACAAACTACGCTGCCAGAGGAGTACCGGAGGGGCTTCCAGCCAAGAACGCCAGCGAACAGCTTCAGATCTGGAATTCTAGCCCGAATACCAGCCTTCCTGCCCGCGATTATTCTGCCGAACTCTAGGTTGGAAGCTTCAATCCGAATCCAGCGGGCCCTCTGCTGGAAGGGGAAGCACGGGATGCTGGAGTGGAAAATGGGGGAAGAACCAGGAAGGGGACGAAGAGAGAGAGAGAGAGAGGGGGCGAGGGAGAGAGAGACGGCTTGCACATGCAAACATGCAGTCGAAGGACCGACAACAAGGCGTAAACATATAATCTGGAACGCAGGCAGATAACACAAAATAGTAACATGAGGATCCGTGAGAGCTTCCCACTGGTTCACACCGTCGATGGGATACACATGCTTGTTGTTTCCCACCTTCAGCCACCACGCCGCCGACCAATGTAGGCAACCAGTCCGATACATGGATCAGCCGTTCACTCTCACTACCTTTGGGTGCTTCTGAGATGCCTGACCAATAAAAGAAGGCAGGTACTCGCACCCCCCCCCTCGTAAGCCGATCCTTTCTCTCCGCGCAATTGCCTATTATTGCCACCATCGCCAGGCTTGACGCTACCGCCATTGTCTGACGTCAGGAGAAGCAAGATGCCATCCCCGATCCCTAAAGACTTGTATGTATTAATCACGTGTTCTATGCCCTGGTCGAGTGCCAATACCATGCCACAAAAGATACCCCGCTGATTCTCCGAAGTCGCCCCACGTATCGGCATAGTAGCGTGTACTCGTCCAGGGCCGCCAGCGGACCGTGAATGGCTTGGTACGCCAAATACACGAATGTCTTATCTGCATTTCCTGTACGAGCGCCCCTGGAAATCCAACGTTTCTTGGTATAGACGTGTGTGTGTGTGCGTAATAGACATCATTTCCAAACCGTGCATCGAAATTATCGTGGAGATCAACAGTTGTTCCCCATCTACTCTGGTAGTAGGTCTGAGCAACATTACCAAAGGCATAGAACTAATCGAAACCACGGCAAATTGGTGTGCGATCCCACGTGGTCATTCCTGCGTCCCACTTTCCGATAGCAGCCGTCTTGAAGCCACCCTGATGCAGACGATCCGCCACACTACTCACATTCGTTGGTAAGTCAGTCGGCCGACCGTTCAGTATCCCCGCGCTATCGAGCGCAACGCTTGAGCCAAAATGGCTTGAGCCAAAATGGCTACTGACGCGAGTCGGGACTTCCTTGAAAGCCTTTTCGGCCCAGCGCTGTTTGAAATGGTGGCGGAGGGGGGTGGAGGGAGGGAGGGAGGGACATGCCTCGCAAGTGAACATGCCAGGGTCCAGTCAAGAGCAGCCTCCTGGAAAGCATGTCCCTTGGAAGGGGTCCAGACTTCCGGGGACCCCGCATCGGACCAATCGAGGCATCGGATCTCTGCGCCCCCACCACCCCCCACGTCCGCTGCGAGTCGTCCCAACTTGCCATCGCGTCGACGTCCGTTTCCCGTGTATGCTTCGATGTCGTGCGACTGTTTTCGAGCATGATCCCGGATGCTCTTCAATGGTCCTCGCCGAGGAAAAGGTGCACACGTCCGAGCGATGGCAAACTGGAGTTGGCCGTCGACGGCCAAGGGCCATCGAGCAGCCGAGACTGAAGAGGGGCCGCGTGCAGCATGGCTCATCTGCCAGCGGCGGAGCAGCAACGTTTGGACGTCGGGGTTGGGAACATGGCAGGGCAGAAGCCGCTCGCGTTGATACAAGAGAGCTGCGAGTTCTGACTGAGTGCATGTGTTGCTGCTTCACTCGTGCCTCTCACTCTGAGGATGCGCCCGCCGTGTGGCCCGCCGAAGACGCTGCGGAGCCGATTCCTGCGCTAACGCGTCTGCGAGTGGAAAACCTCAGGCGAATTCTGTGCGACGTGAGTGAATCATGGGGAAAGTGTCAGCATGGGCGCCGCGACGCAACGCAGGCCGCGCAACCTCACTTACTTTTGCGCACCCGCTGCCCTGTGCCGCAAGACACGCTGCCCCACATGTAATTTCAACCGCTTGGACTGCCGCGGCTATGGTGATGATTCTCCAGATAGGCTTGTCCTACAGGAGTCCTAGCTCATCATAAATAGCTGGTCTTTGGGACCCCCTTTTTCCAATGACACCCCCCCTTTTTCCAATGCCCCCCTTTTTCCAATGGCACTTGCTTGCTTGCTCTTGCGTGCTTGCTCTCGCTTGCTTGCTCTTGCTTGCCCTGGCTTGCTTGCACTTGATCGCTGGCTCTTGCTTGCTTGTTATTGCTCGCTTGCGTTTGCTTGCTTCCGCTTGCTTGCCTGCCCTTGCTTGATTTTTCTCCAACCGTTCTCCTCCCGTCCTGATCCGGTCCTCCTTTCGTCCTCCTCCCATCCTCCTCCTGTCCTCCTCCTGTCCTCCTATCTATTTGGAGTCAACGCTGGTTGATGTATCTGTATGTATATAGAAACATAAATAGTTACATGTGTATGTGGGAGAGAGGGAGAGAAGGAGAGAGAGAGAGAGAGCGAGGGAGGGAGATCAGAAACTATACCACACTTGACGTTTCACCTCCGTGGACGCAGCATGTGGGGGCCCCGAGTTCCTGACGCACCAGAGAAAGCGAGAGAGAGAGAGAGAGCGAGGACAAGTATTCTGAGAAGGAGGAGGGGCACTGTCCAGACACTCGACGGACTGATGTTTCAGTCCGAGGGGCCCCGAGGTCTCGACCTCTCCCCAAGGGGCAGTTCATCCGTTGTCCCACATCATTTTTTTTCTCGACGGCCCTAATAGGGCGAGGAAGTGGCACCTGGAGGCCGAAACGGAGGAACAACGTCCAGATCGACAAAAAAAACAAATCCTCCCCAAGCCTGTGGAGGCCACCCAGATGGGGTCCGAGCAGATGAGGTCGGAGGCTCGCGACGCATCGCTGGTACACCGCTCATGCATCGGGGATGCGTCGACGACGCCGGCATGGAGAACATCGGGCTCCACATCGAGCCGCATTCGCCGATGCATCGGCGATGCGGTGCGATCCGACGGCCCCGTCCACCCAGATCCCCCTTGGGAGGCCTGGGCGATCGAACAAACGCATCCGCCCGAAGTCTGGGAGCATGCGTCGAAGAACAACAAATGACATGAACAGAAATTCTCGGAGGTGCGCGCTGACTTCTCGGATCGGCGCTGGACCCCCTCCCTGGCGCGCGGAGCGCGCCAGGGGCGGCGCCGGAGGCGCCGCCAGGGGGTGCCAGCGCCGATCCCAGAAATCCGCGCGGACCTCCGAAGGATTATGTGCTATGTGTGTGTGCCGTGAGTTGTTGCCCGCTGCGTCCGCCCGGCGTCTGGAGGCATTTGAGCAGGGGCCGACCGTCCTGGCATTCCTGTAGTCCTACCACGAGATGTCCTTCGAACCCAGCAGTGCTCTGAGAACAAGACCCGTGTCCTTAGACCACAGACCCGATGTCCTAAAGCAGAACGGGTCTCGGCCAGAAGCGTTCTGAGAGCATGTCGTGCAGACCGCCAGATGCATCCGCCCGACGTCCGGAGGTTGGCGGCGCGCAAAAGGGGGTAGGGGGAGGGGGGAAGGCTTCTTAATTAGAAGCACCCTGCTTCTTAGAAGGCCTCGGCCTTACGTCTATAGCGAAGGCCCGCGCCTTCCAAGAAGCAGGGGTGCTTCTGAGAAGCCTTCCCCCCTCCCCCTACCCCCCCCTCTGCGCGCCGCCAAGGAGGCGTGCGCAGCCGCCTGGCGCTCGTGCTCCTCCAGGGTCTTCTGCAGCCCGGCGAGCTGGGCCTCGAGGTGCACCACCCGCGCCCGAGCCCGGCCTGCGCCCGCCTCCGCCTCCGCGTGGCCGCGCACCTCTCCGCGGCGCGGGGGGGGCGTGAGGCCCCGGGCCCTCCGCGTGGGCGCCCGCTCCCCCGCCTGAACCCGCCGGGTCACGAATGCCTCGCGACGGGGGGCTTCCTGCTGCTTGCGGCCTCCGGAGGGCCCTCGTCGGGCCTCGGGGGGGCCGTCAGAGACGACGGCTCGGGACGAAAGGGGGGGGAGGAGGGGGATGGGGAGGGGGAGGGGGAGGGGGAGGGGCAGGGGGAGGAGGAGGAGGAGGAGGAGGAGGAGGAGGAGGATTTTCTCGAGGGCCCCAGGGCAGAACATCAAAACCACGGCCTCAGGCCGAGACTGCTGCACGAGAGGCCTCCTCTCTCAGCCGAATCCTCTCCGCCAGGGCCGACATTCCAGGTGTCGAAATCAGGCCCGAGCGGGAGGAGGAGGAGGAGGACGGTCCAGGCTCAGCTGCTTTGAGCAGGACATACCTGGCCGAGGCACGACATGTGGTGCCCTCGCTTGCAGCGACCGTGCCCCGATTCCTGTAATGGGGCGGGAGACCTCGACGGATGCGGGACAGTGCACCTCGCCCGCTGGGGCCAGGAGGTCCGCACATCCCGCCGAGGAGGTAACACCGCTTGCTGGTGAAGGCACCACAGCGGAAACAGAAAACAGTAGGCGCACACTCGTCATCCTGCAAGAAAGTCGTGCACAGGAGGTGGCCACGCTCGCTCTCGGCACCTTGCAATCTGCGGAGCGCAGTGGGCAGGCCCTTGCAGCCGTCCATGGGTCTGCTGTCTCCAATCGCCGTCTTAAAACATCTCGAACACCTAGCGAGCGAGGGAGTTTCATCGTCCCCTGGGTCCAGCACACGCCAGTCATGCCACTCAATGGCACGGTGGGCCCGAGCTTTCACCCGCGGAACCGTGGGGTCCCGAACAAACTGTAACTTGGGAACAAGAGACAAAACAGCACCGAACATGGCAACTAGCTTTCGCAGTAGAGCCACGTCCTTGTCTAATTGCTCGAGCTCCTCAACGGGTAACGAGGGGTGAAGAGACAAAGCATGCTTCGCCAGTCGGTCCGCGTCCTGGTTCCCAAGAGCGATTTTTCGTTCCTGGGCGGGAAGCGCGGATACCACTTCGTCCGACCTGTGCGCAGGCGTGTGAGCAAAAGATGCGATGCTTCGCTGGCCTGGCTCCTGGAGAGCGCGCCGTCTGAGGCCGGCGAATGCCTGTCCAGGGTCCAACTGTACGGACTGGCGCGCATTGGCTAGGTTGACAACTCCAAGACAGTCCGAGTGGGCCTCGCTAAGGCCTGTGGCCACACAAGAGAGAGTGGCAGCCCCGAGGTGTTCTCCCGACTGGGCCGTCTGAGGAAGGCCAGGCCACACCGTTCCCAGAAGTCGAGCGCGAACCTCATACGGGGTCTCGCTCGACGGATCGAAGAAAACAGCAGCATACGTGGCACGACTCAGCTCACGAAAAGCAAACTGAGTAGCCGAACCATCGACAACAATGCGGGTGTTGACGGTTCGTTCACAAAACTCTTCGACCGATAGTGGCTCACCTAACGGCCCTTGGAGAAGGGGGTCGAGGTCGAGGCAAGGGGGGGGGGCCTCAGGCTGAGCCACCATTAGCCGAGACCAAAACAGCAATTTTTCAGGCGGGCAGTTACAAGCCGCTAGCATCTCTTCGTCTGAGAGATGCTCACGGCGTGCAGCTTCGACGGTCGGGTCCGAACACAGAAACTGCCTGTGGACTATGGAATCAGGCTCCCCACAGAGGGGACACAAACCGTCCGAAACGTACCCCGAGGATTTGAGCCGATCCGCAGTCCAGCAGGCCCCAGAGAAACACGCAGAAAGCCAGTATTTCTGCCGACCGTCGAGCTTCTTAGAGCGTAGCATTCGTCTCAGGGGATCGGGTGAGACGCGGGAAGAAGTGAACATCGGAGTGGCCTGGGCCATCCTACGCTCGCGCATCCGCTGAACGCCCTCCTCTAGCAACTTATTGAGGAGAGCGGGCGAGGTGTACAGGAGGTCAATGACGTATCCTCGCTCATCGTGCCAAACTGAGAAGTCCACCGCCTTCCAGCCGATCCTGTGCAAACATAAGAGCATCCTGTGAATGGGGCCTTTCGATTTCCGCCATCCCGTGGATTCCAGATCGAGCTCCTGAGACTGCACAACATCCCTCCATATCTGTATGTGCTGCCGAAACGAGAATGGAGAAGTAGATGGGGTGGTTATCGGCCTCCAGAGGCTGGTCGCCCACTGATGGGCAGGGGCCACCGACTGTTTCCATGCAGGGTCCCCGTGTAGGACCAACTTGGCCGTCAGGGAGGCCCCCCGATGAGCTGGGTTTTTTCCTGCTAGCAAGACTCGCTGTAGAGACTGAAGCTCGGTGTCCGACATGCCTAGAACCATGGCGCCATAGCCAGCGGCAGGGCGCACTCCAGCAGTATAGATCTTCTGCATTCTGGATTTGTCCCGAGGAAGTTTACGACGATAGTGAGGGATCAGTTTATGTCTCTTCCTCATCATCCTGAAACGCTCCTTCCTCTTGTCCATGCCTCTTTTGCAAGTTCGCCGTTGGCCTGGTGCCAAGTCCGTGCCCAGCGAGACGGCCGCGCTGGTCGCAGCCGATGGGCAGACAGCACGGAGGCGACGGCATAGGCGGTATGCCAGTCGCTGAGAAGAGGCGAAAGTGACGGCCTTGTCCTCAGCCAAGCGGACGTTCAGCCTGTGATCAAAGACATCCTTGAGGTCAATCCCTGCTCGAACTAAGTTGGCTACAATCGCATCTTCGTCGCCGTATGCCGCCACAGTGTCATCGTCGACGTAGGACCCAAGGGAGACCTCAGGGTGCCGTTGGGACCACATGTCAAATTCAAACATCGCGTAAACCTTGACAAACACATCGTTGAAAATATCCCCAGCTGGAAGCCCAGACTCTGCAAATAGGACCAGGGGTGAGTGGTTAGCCCCCAGCCTCAGGATCCTCGGGGATCTCCAAAGGTTGTATAGGGTCTTGATGAGCACCATGGGGATCCTCCAGAAGATGGCCCTGTCTCGGAGCCAGACCAAAATAAAGGATTCATAGTACTTCATTCCATCCCAGATAAAACCTGCCGTTACCTTGCCACTTGAAGAAGCCTGCTCCGATAAGACACTCTGGTTCCAGATGGCCGCCTCCGAGTTTTGTCCAGACCCGAAAGACCAGTAGGGCCGATGGGCCCGCTCCAGGAATTCATCACACTGACAACGGCGCAAACGTTCCCAGACGCGAACTGGGGATCCCAAGAGGAGAATGGGGCGTAGTCCTCCCTTAGGCTTCTCCAAGAGGGGCACCAGCATCCACAACAGCTGCGCTGGGAACAGGCCAAGGCGCTCGATCGCCTCATAGAGCATCGCCAGGACCTCCAGCCCTAGGTCGCTCAAGCATGCGAAGTGCCTGGGGTGGTAGCCGTCGAGCGACTGCGAAGTGTAGCGGCTAAAAGAGCGCGATGCTGCTCGTATCTCCGACGGGCTCGTGCGTGGGAAGCAATCTCGATTCGGTATCCAGGCCGACGGCGGAGACATACTGGCATTCCAGAACTCGCCTAGCTTGATGGTCTCGGAGGCCAAAAGGCTCTGGGGGTCCGATGTGAAGATCCCTGGGGAGCGCTCAACGATAGTGGGCTGCCACTTTCTCTGAACCTTCGTGAACCTATGCATGAGTCTCGCAGAGCCTGCAAGCGACTTATCCTGCCAAGCGTCCCAAGAGTCGCGTGAAAGTTTGTCGCCATTGTTGATGGCCTCTTCATAGTCGGCCTGGATATCTTCCAAAAACTGGGTGGCTCGATCGCGCCACGACTGCTCCGGGGGTCGGTCTGCGCTCCATGCTATCGCTATCTCGCGCATGGCGCGCAAGGTGGCGTCTAGCCTTGGATTCAAACCTTCGCCTGGGCAGGAGTGTTGCAACACAACCTGGAGGTGCTGGCAAGCATACAGGTCGCAATCCTCAGCGGCGACCGAGTTAAACATCTCAGTGAACGTCTGAAAAACCCATTTCCAACCTGCGATAACCTGGAGTGTATCATCTGGGTTCTTCGGGCGGTAGAAAACTGAAACCCAAGAGGCCTTGATCGTTCTGCTCCTTTCTCCTAAATCTTTGGCCTCCGTGCCTAAAACTCTGCGCAGCTCCACCTCGGCACAGTCGACAAAGTGACCCCAGGCATTCGACAGCACTGCCCAGGCCTCTGTCGCAGCAGCATGCATACTGGTGGCGATCGCGTGCGCCGCGTGCATCATGGCACCGCTCCACTCGACAGGTGACGGAGACGGTCCGAACGGCGGATCGACTGGCAGACGTTGGTGAGTGCGGTATACAAGCTGCTTTGAACGGAGTGTGTCACCTCGGAACTCGACGCGAACAGGACGGTGAGGTTTTACTTCCCAGGAGGTGTCCGCCGATACCAGGGTAACCAGATGGGCGATCCCAGGACCCATCACAAAATAGTCAATCACACTGTTCGAAGTCGGGGAGCGACAGGTGAACGCTCGCGGTGACAGGATGAGCATACCTAGCTTCCGAGGGAATCCAGATGCTTCCAGGACCTCAGGACTCATATTCCAATCTCCTCCCAAGATCGTGTGCGTCGGGTCGGTGATCGACTGACCTATCGACTTCAAAATCCCCAGGTTGGCCTCGCTAAGGCCCTCCGCGGACCGCATATAAACCGAGTAAAGCGACAAAACAGGCCACCCAGGGAACTCAATCAAGACCTTGACGACTCTGTGGGCACATATGCACCCGTTACCTTCAGCGGGCCATCGAAGTCCCACTGCTAGTCGTGCGAATACTGCTACTCCCGATGATAACTTCCCAGACTCAGCATTGATACGAGCAGGAAGAATGAGAGAGTGCCAGCCGAGCGAGCGAGCTGCAGCTGTGGCCTGACCGACGAACTCCTCGCTGATGCCAACCTCTTGGGCACACAGCACGACAGCGTCCGTCTCGGCCAAACGTCGGCGCAGAGTGCGCCAGCATGAG